TGTTTGTAGTCTATGTTACATTCTCGTATATTTTCTTAGCCTTTGGGAAGCGAAGAAAAAAATGGCACAACAGGATATTTTTTTTTTTTACGGAAGTTTCGACAATTTATTACGGAGTAGGTGAGGGGGGTTATATCCGGGTGTAGGAGACGTCGTGTTGTGTTGTCGTGGGAGTCCGTCGTGTAGTGTCGCTTATCGTAGTGGAAACTCATGGGTAGAATTCTTACATTGTGAGGAGAAAAAAAACGTCAATTCTATCCAAAACATTAACATCAATCACTAAATTATCGTCAGCTCTTCAAAAACGATTCCCAGAACAAAAATAGATTAAAGAAAGTTAGTTGTGTGGGAATAAAATAAACATTGTTAAAAAGTAAATTGGTTTTGCACGTAAAAAAAAAATAGATATATATGTATACTGTATATGTATGTTGTTGAAAGTTAATCACTGAGGCAGTGAATATAAATACTGGCGCCTATTGTTGTGGCGTGTTTGTGTAGCGGCCGACTAACACAGCCTCGCTAGCGGTCTGTATAGCGACCAACACAGCCTAGCGGTCAGTGTATTTTGGGAAGTCTGTTTCTTTATCTGCATCGTCTGTTTGCTTTTTATATAGGTCTGTTTATATGTCTGTGTATTTGTTTGGACACATGGCTGACTGTCAACGTGTTAGTGTTTACATCTGTCACTCTACATGCTGTCTGTGTGTCTGTCTGTCTGTCTATCTGTCTGTCTGTCTGTCTATCTGTCTGTCTGTCTCCTTAAATTCAAATATCATAACCTATACGGTCTTCTTCAGTTACAGTCTGGCAATAAGATGGTCAGAACAAACACCACTGCATCCAGGTTCCAAGTCACAAATGGTTGAGGAGGCCAGTGGACAGGGGGCAGTATAAAATAATATCTTGTATCATTACCAACAGGTGTTTGAGAGACAAGAGAGATAATTAAATATACTATACCAACAGGTGTTTGAGAGACGAGAGAGATAATTAAATATACTATACCAACAGGTGTTTGAGAGACAAGAGAGATAATTAAATATACTATACCAACAGGTGTTTGAGAGAGTAGAGAGAGGCAGTACAAAATAATATTACTGTATCATCAGTTGTAAGACATTGCTTGTATATACGTTTAGGTTGTGGGAGTTGTGAGCTGTTATGACGTACACATGAATGTAAGTACACAGAGGAAGTACACACAGACAGACAGACGGACGGACGGACGGACTGACATGTACACAGCATTATAGAGCACAGCATTATGAAGAACATTAGCTCTATCTTTCACAGCACAGTAGAGAACAATACGACACAGCTTAATGCAACAGAACAACATGGCAAAAAGATCAGTTCATCAAAGCCCAGCACAGCCCAACACACTAATCTAACACAGCTCAGAAAATCATAACATGACCTAGTATAGCACACCTAGCACAAAAGTCAAGACAACACAGCCCAACAAAGTATAGCAAAACAGAGCACAGGGAGGAGGACAGGTCAGCACAGCGTACCAGAACAAGAGTAGAGCACATCCTAGCGTAGCGTCACATAAAACAAAAAATAAAACAGCATATCACAACTTAGCATCCCTATAACACCTCCCAGGGCAACCTAACACAGCACAGAATAACACACACACACACACACACATACACACACACACACACACACACACACACACACACACAAAGTCAACAGTGGTGAGTTAAACTTGGAAATAAAAGGCTGGAACACCAAAGTAAACCATCAGTGGAAGAGTTTGTGTTAATCTGTGTCAAAACAAAACCCATTCAGAGCTTCGGATACAAGGACGCGACACACACACACACACACACACGCGCACACACACACACACACACCTGAAGCATCTTGTGTAGAGACGGTGTTGAAAAGTTATAAAAGATTAACACCTTTTTATTACTTTTTTTTTATACAGTATGAAAAAGTATGACTTCTATATAGGCAATTAGTATTGACCCTTAGATGAAGTTTACCATGAGTGTGATGGCAAACAGCTTCCTTCACACTACACTACACTACACTACACTACACTACACTACACTAACGTTACACCCAGGAGCTAACATTCACTTTAGGTCTTATTAAAATAAACAAATAAATTCACACTAGTGTCACTTTACTCTTTTATATCAAATAAGGGGTTAAGGTCATCGTACTCAAGGGGTTAAGGTCATCGTACTCAAGGGGTTAAGGTCATCGTACTCAGGTTAAGGTCATTGTACTCTAGGGGTTCAGGTCATTGTATGCTAGGGATTAAGGTCATCGTACTCTATAGGTTCAGTTGAGTTAAGTTGAATTTAGTTTAGTCTTAAGGTCATTTTAATAGTATGGTTTTAGTAGTCTACCGCAGATGATATGTTTTTTAATCTCCGTGGTTTGTAACGTGATGATGAGAAGGAAAGATGTGAGTGACTAGATATGAGAGATGCTGTGCTGTGTGTGATGTGCCATGCTGTGTAGGGCTGTGTCGTGCTGTGCCGAGAAAGGTAGACCGCACCATAGGGAAATCCAGGCTTGAGTATGCAAATTCTGGCGGCTTTGATTGGTCTTGTTTACATATTGATAAAGTGGCAGTGTGTATGTGCGTTCCATGAACCTCGTCTACTACACTTACGTCTTTACTCTCTCTCTCTCTCTCTCTCTCTCTCTCTCTCTCTCTGTCTGTCTGTCTGTCTGTCTCTCATAATTATTCTGTGTTTCCGTCTTTCTTATCTTTATTCTTCGTCTTCGCTTCATCTTTATCACTCACCTCTGTCTCGTTATGTCTTTCTCTGTATCCTTCTGTATGTCTGTTTTTTTTCATTATGTCTTTTCCTGTATTTTTGTCTGTCTGTCTTTAGATTTATCCGTATTTTTTTTGTATTCTGTATACTATCTCCCTCCTTCCTTCTTTTCCTCCCTTCCTCCCTCCTTCCTTTCCTCTCCCTTTCTTCTTTCCCTCCCTCCCTCCCTCCCCCTTCCCCATCTCCTTCATTTAGTTCCTTCATACCTCCCTCCCTCCACTACTCTAATGCTAACCTAATCTAACCCTAACCTAGTCCTAACCTAATCCTAACCTAACCCTAACCTAACCTAATCCTAACCTAACCTAACCGAAACCTAACCTAACCTAGCACACAGATATTTAATTTACTCAATATATAATGTAACAATATCACAGGTTACCCCGAGTATAACTTATCGTGATGACAACCAAAACTCGAGGGACTCTCAGCCCAAGGAGACACACTTACCTTTTGAAATATTACCAAAGTGAAGAAATGTGAAGGATGTTTCGAGCTATACCTGCGTTACTTATGAGTATTTAATGAAATAATAATAATAGCGTTGATATTGAAAGTAATAATGATAATAATGTTTGATTAATATTTGATAATACTTATAATGATATTGATAATCAGGTTAGTACTAGTAAATGTTTATGATGAGTTTTTTTGATAATAATGATAAAGGAATATACGTAATAATAATAATAATAAAAATAATAATAATAATAATAATAATAATAAAACATACACAACAAAAATAATGTAAAATCCTAAATAAAACAAACATCAATAAAAAAAAGTTCAATGTTTGTTTATTCAATCATAAATTAACAAACACCATTATTATTTTTCATATACTGTTCATATCACCGTGATTGGTGATACTAACGTGTTGCCAACTACCATGTTTAGATAACTCGCCTACTAATTAATTCTCTATTTAATTTATTCTTTTTTTTTGTATGTGTGTGTGTACGATAATGTATGTGCGTTACTCACATAATGTTCAATAACTGACAGCTGGTTCCCCCACAATGCCTGGATGTGGTATTTATAGAATGGTGTTGAATAGCTGGAGTTGTGATGGGCTGGCTGGGGGCTTACATGGTGTGTGTGGGGGTGTGGGAGGTGTGGGGGGGTGTTTGTGATGAACATTTAACGTAAGCCAGAGAGATGGTTTGTAAGTTGGCATATTACTAAAGCTTACGTAGATGAACATGATAACTTAAGGAAAAAAAATTTAAATCTTATCTTATAATGTCAAGCCTTAATTAGACGAGCCAAGACAATAAGTATCGTAGTTAAATCCTCTGTTAATTGTTATGTTTATTTAGCAGAAAGTGAATGTTATTAAACCTGCCATTAAATGTTTTAATATATTTTACCTCCCTTGTAGTTAACATTAAAATTATTCCACCTTGTTTATGTCAGATAATGTTTGTCTGTTTTGGCTTTGGGAATTCAATGTCTATTTTTTTTTTCTCACTCGGAACCCCAAGACATGACCTATAAAGTTTCAGAGTCTTAAGCCCTGTACATCAACACTGTCAACACACAACAGGAAACAACAGAATCAGTGTTAAAAATAAATAATGTACCGTACCATGAACAAGACAGCTCAAGCAATTTATTTTTTCAGGTATTATGAACCAACCTAACCTAACCTAACAAACTAGTGAATTGATGATACGTAAACATTGTAACGTCATAGAGGAACCGGCATTTATACATAATATATTTACTTTCCTGTGTTTTTGTTTACACACACGTACACACACACACACGTACACACACACACACACACACACACACGCACACACGTAATAAGTCCTAAGCGAGATGAGGACATGAAGCAAAACTAATTATTAAAATTTACTATAATTATTGGTACCTGTACAATAATAATTTTGCTAATGACAAATATCACCTTTATTACTGTTGTTATATGGTGTGTGTGTGTGTGTGTGTGTAATACTTTATCTAGTGATTAATGTCATTACTTTAAGTACTTTATGCATTTGTAATTATTATAGCATGGAATTTATGTATGTATGTATGTATGTATATGTATGTATGTATGTATATGTATGTATGTATGTATGTATGTATGTATGTATATGTATGTATATGTATGTATGTATGTATGTATTATCAGTTATCATTATCACTGTTATTATTAATATTATTGTGTTTGTTATCTTTCAGTAGTGACGTGGGATGTGACAGTGCGAGCGGAAGGGTCACGGGTGGTGGTGGGCGGCGTGGGCGTGGTGAAGTGCCAAGTGGGCGGGGCGGTGGTGAGTGGGTGGGCGGTAACTACTTGGCTAGTCCAGGAGACATCCACAGCTACGCCCGTTCCTCTCCCTGATGCTGGCCGGTGAGTTATTTAATGTAGTGTTTTTATCAAGAGTATTAGTTTCCCGAGCAACCGACTCACTGGATGTAAACAAACGAATGGCGTCCTTAGCAACGCGTGTCTCCGTATCTCTAGGCGTCTTGTTCTTCCTTGGTCCACCACCCTCCTTCCTTTAATCCATCACCCTCCCCCATTTGGTCTACCACCCCCTCGGTCCACCACCCCTTCGGTCCACCACCCCTTCAGTCCACCACCCCTTCGGTCCACCACCCCCTCGGTCCATGAAGGTTAACCAGACATTCTTTAAACTTTAATAAAGAGATTTTTTTGTCATTAAGTCGTGGTGGACCAGGCGGAGGAAGGGTGAGGATCAGGGGGGGTAGGGGTGATGAGGGTCCGGAGGGATGGTTGGGGAAGGGGGGGGGTGAGGGTTCTATAGGAAGAGGAGGAGGGGGTATTGATTGTTTTATATTACTGTTTATGGTTTGTATAGTTGACTCTCTCTCTCTCTCTCTCTCTCTTATCCTCCTTTACAATAGGGATAAACGATCTAGGTATTTTTAGAACGAGTTTCGTAGATTTGTTTTATTTTTTTGTTATGTGAGATTTAGTGAAGAGGTAACCTAAGTGGGCTGTGGTTAGGTTTGGTTTAGGTTAGGTTAGGTTTGGTTTAGGTTAGGTTGGGTTAAAGTAATTTAATTTCATTTCCGTCTGATTTAGTTAGGTTAGGCTAGGTTTAAGTTAAGTGAGGTTAGGTTAAAGTTGAGTTAGGTTAGGGTAAATTATGTTAAATTTCAGTTATGTCTGATATGGATAGGTCAGGTTTAGACAGTTGTATTAGGTTAAATCTCGTTAAGTTTAGGAAGCAGAAGTTAATTAATATTAGGTTTAATTAGATCTAGGTTTAGATAACACAACTTTTAGTTTTGCTGTGTTGTTAAACTTAAACATATTAAACCTAGTGTAGGTTTAATAGACTATGAGCATTGTATTTAATGTGACTTATTCTGAAGATGATTATTATTTTAGATCTAAACAGGTATTTTATCGCTGTACTTATTATTAGTGTTGTATTTTTCTATTTTTACTGTATTTTATTATTATTACTATTGTTGTATTATAATTTTTTACAATATGAAGGAATATATCTACAATGTGTGTGTTAATATAATCGTAAAATGCTGTTATATTTCTAGTTGTGGTCGTCATGTATATCTTTAGTATAATCCAACATGTTATAGTTAGCTGTGTGTATAATCATGGTGTGATGTTTTTATTTAGCGAATACAACTTTTATTCGTTTGTTTACTTTTTTATGTATTTGTTTTCGTGATGGCGGAACAACAAGTATTTTTATTTGTTGTATTTTTGTTGTGAATTAGCGTCAGCGGTACGGATGGCCTCACAACACGTTGGTTCTCATTACTGCATTGGCCAGGCCCTGTGTGGCCAGGCCCAGCGTAGTCAGATTCACTTTAGCCAGGCACCTTGACCAGGTGTCCACCATGGCCACGTCTGAAATCAGTTCGTGGATCAGTTCTCAATCACGCAATCTTGAGTTGTGCACTACGATGACCTGAATACTGAGTGACCCAGGGTGAAGGAGGCAGGGATGGAGGATAAGAGGTAGGGAAGGTAACAAGGAGGGTGGCAAGGAAGAAAGGAGGAACTGAGGCAGGCATGCACGGGAGAAAGGAGGGAGGGAGGGAGAGAGGGAGAGAAAATGATAAAACTCGGGAGGGAGAAAGGAGAGGGGTAAAAAGACAAGGTAGTAATATAATTTTCTACATCTTTATACATTATATAAATACTCTGGGGTTGAGCCATAATTATAGACACTCGCAGTAACTCGATCTACAGCCGCTGATATCATTATAGAAGGATGTCCAACACACCACAGAAGTTATGTCCAGTTTTACTCAACTCTGTAGACGACTTTGTGAGGTTCTCTGGTGACTCGGAGGGTATTTGGCTGTTTTTGCTGATGTTGTGGTAAAGTTATCTTGATATTTCTGATGTTATTGATGTATATTTCTCAAGTTATTTTTATAGATTTGTCGAGTTATTTTTATTTATTTCTCAGGTTATTTTTTATTTATTTATCGAGTTATTTTTCTTTGTATATTTCTTTAATTATTTTTTAATATATATTAAGAAGTTATATAAATATTTCTTGAAATTTACTAAAGCTCTAACTTGACAATGAAAACGTGGATAAGATAAATCTTGATAAAATCACACGGGAAAAGGGAAACAACGGAGCACCTTAGCTTTCGTCTTTATTCAAGACATCTTCAGAGCCAACTGGATTACATGGACAGAGGGAGGCTTAACTATACAGGGTGACCTTATTAAACATGAGGTCAGGTCATAATGATGTCATCCACTAATCCCCACACCAACACACACGTAGAGGAGCTTAAGAGAAGGGGGCGACGTGACTAGTCAGGTCAGGTCAAAAATAAGGGGCCCACTAAATAACTATCCTATATCTAGATCCAAGGTTTTCAAAGCATTTTTAACCTTGGGCCACTGACAAATAAATTTATGTAACATATCAGTTTTGAACTGACCATCACTAATGTTAATTGATTTTAATTTCTTAATCAAACCAGAAAGACTTCTGGTTGAATCTAGATCCACCATGGCCAGATCCACCATGGCCAGATCCACCATGGCCAAATCCACCAAGGCCAGGGTCACTATTTTCTAAAATCAGTTCGTGGATCAGTTCTCAATCGCACAATCGTGAACTGTGTACGACGATGACCTGAATACTGAGTGACCCAGGGTGAGGGAGGGAGGGAGGGAGACTAGCAGGGAGGGAGGGTAAGAGACTGGGAGGAAGGAAAGAAGGGAAGGAGGAATAAAGTCAAGGAAGGAAGAAGAGGAGGAGACATAAAGGGTGATTAAAAAAGATAATTATGATGAATGATAATGACGTATATATCTTTGCATGTATGTAATGATAAATCAATTATAGCTAAGTAAATCTGGCATATAATTATACCAGAATTATATAGAATACTAAGACGTGACCATATACGGATTTAGTCGAGTATACTTTATCGAAATATATACACGTCCTATAATGTATACTCTTGTTATACACTATGTAAATACTATAGACATTTGCATTAATTCAGTCGTCAACATCACCAACAACAACAGGATGTGAGGGAGGGAAGCAGCCTGGGATGTTTACCTCAACACTGTGTTCTTGTCGAGTTTGATGTTCCTGAAAAACTTTGTGGGTTTTACGGAAGACAGAATTATTTTTTTATTTTTTTTTTATTTTTTTTTCTGAAGTTTAGTAATTTATGTTTCTGAAGTTTTTTTTTAGGGATTTATATATTTTGAAGTTTATTGATTCATACAAAGAATTCTTCTCCCTTGAATTTACGGTTTTATTATTTCTTCTGAGGTATTTACTGAAGATCTTAAAGGGAAGATTGAAATATATTAATGGGTTTCTGAATATATTCTTCGTAGGTTTAGGTAATTTATTTAAAGTTTTTATTGGGGAAATTTTTGGGTTAGTTACTTAAATTAATCCCTGGGTTTTAAAATTTCTTATGTGGATTTTTGAAGTTTTTAATTGTGTTGAGGATGTCAGCAAGTCTATTGGCGTTATGAATGGAAGTTTGTAGTTCTTTAAGACTGAATGAACAGAACACAGAGGGGTTAATTTTAGTAGTGTTTGTATAAGTGATAATAGCAGTAGTAACAATGATTTTAGTTTTAGTGGTAGCAGTAGTAGTAGTAATAGTAGTAGCTGTAATAGTAGTAGTTATTATCATTATTATTATTATTATTATTATTATTATTATTATTATTATCATTTTTATTATTACCAGTATAAGTATTGCATTATCTCTATATGTGTGTCTGTGTCTGTCTATGTATGTATATGTGTTTGTATGTATGTATGTATGTAAACAGGTAGACAGAGATCGATTGATAGATATTTTTATAAGATATCAAAACATCATAGGTACCTTAGTTTCACATAACACAACACTGAGGAAGTTAACTATTGGCGTTACTTTCGTGGCGCTGAAGAAGGTAACAGTGCCGCTAACATACGAAGATAATACGTCATCCAATCCCCGACCCCTTGACCTATTTTCCCCCAACCTATCTTCCTCAACCTATATTCCCCAACCTATCATCTCCTCAAATTTATTCTCAACCCATCTCCCCCAACCTATTCCCCAACCCATCTTCCTCAACCCCCTCAACCTCTCTAACTTTATCTCAACTTCCTAACCTCTCCTCAATCTATCTCTCAACCTATCTCCCCAACCTATTCCCCAACCCATTCTCAACCTCAACCCCAACCTAACCCCTGCCTCCTGGTCATATGGAGTCAGGTACATTACTTATCTGTGTGTGTGTGTGTGTACATGAGTTGTGTATGCATACTTACAACTACATACAAATAGTTATGTTGTATGAACACATGTGTCAGTGTTAATGGTCACAGTTGTGTTACAGTTTTGTAACCAGAAAGTTAATGCAAGTTTTTTTTTTTTTTATTTAGAGTAAATTGCATCTCTTAAACACTGTGTGCGTGTGCCCGTGTGTGAGTGCGTACATGTACATACGTATTCGTGTTTGTGTGTGTAATAATAATAATAATAATAATAATAATAATAATAATAATAATAATAATAATAATAACGATTAACTGATTAGTGAGAGAAAATAGTATCCTAAGGCAATAAATAAACAAAAACAGAAATATTGTAAATTACAGATGGTGTTATTGATGAGTGAGTCATTTAACAAAAGCTTTCAATACAAAAAGAAACATATAGTGAACAAACAAGTTAACTAGAGTCTGATAGTTAACACTGTGGTTAAACAGGGGCTGCCTTTAAAGTCCTGATACAGCTGTGGTGTTGTACCGCTGGAGGAGGAGGAGGAGGAGGAGGAGGAGGTGGTGTCTCTAGAAGGTTTGTGGCGTTAACAAGGACTGTGTAGCAGCTGATGGCCTGGGACATAATGGCGATCACAGG